TGATTCTCTTAGGACAAACTATTAGAACTAATAAGAGAATTTATGTAGCTCACTGGATAAAAGACAAATAAGTAAAAAATGAGTTTCTTTTTTCCATGCCTAAAATCTGAACAGAATCTGAATATGTGCAGAGGCATACATAATGTTCTTGGATAGAAGAACAATATTACAAATGCAAATTATTTTTAAAATGAAATAAAAATCTATTCCAATTCCACTCAGAATTACAATTTTAAGGTTTAGATGGCAAAATAAATATTCAAAAACAGCAAAAAAAAAAAAAAAAAAAGGAAAAGCATAGCAATAGAAGGGTTTGCTTAGCAGAGAGTGATACCCTGTGAAACCACTGAGTCAAGTGTAACAGGGTGGCAGCCATGTGGTGGGCAGAACAAAGTATGCAAATAGGTCCAGGTATGTTGAGAATTTAATATAAGGCAAGGCTGGCATTTTAGTTCAGTTCAGTGGGGAAATGTACTTAAATAACTCACTCTCAATCCAGAAGAAAGCAAAACCAGATTATTTACCATTATAAAAATTTCAAATTGATGAAAAGACTCAAAGAACAAAATTTAAATGAAATATAAGAATATATTTCAGGCTGGGCGTGGTGGCTTATGACTGTAATCCCAGCACTTTGGGAGGCTGAGGCAGGAGAATGGTGTGAACCTGCGAGGCAGAGCTTGCAGTGAGCCGAGATTGTGCCACTGCACTCCAGCCTGGGTGACAGAGCAAGACTCCATCTCAAAAAAAAAAAAAAAAGAATATATTTCAGTAACTCTGTAGTCCAAGAAACCTTCCAAAGTGAGAGAGAAAGCTCATCAGCCATGAGAGCAAGATAATGTAAACATGTATGGGAAAACATTCTGAAAAGAAAGTCCTAAGGCAAGTGATACAGTGGGAAACACACACACACACACACACACACACACACACACACACACGAAATATATGTTTTAGTCTTTATTACAAAGAGAGAAACAAATTGATAAGAAAAGGCAAACTAATCAATAGAAAATGGACAAAGTACATGAACAGCCAAGTTACAAAGGGGAAATCCAATGGCCTAACAAGCAAATGGCAAGATGAGAGTGTAAACAAGACACCATTTTCCACTCTTCAGAGTAGAAAAACAACATAAACACATTTGATGTAGTTTGGATATTTGTCTCCAAATCTCAAGTTGAAATGTGATCCCCAGTCTTGGCGGGGCGGCCTGGTAGGAGGTGTTTGGATTAGAAGCAGACGCCTCATGAATGGCTTGGACCATCCCCTTGGTGATAAAGTGAGCTCTTGCTCAGTTCACACGCAATCTGGTTGTTTAAAGGTGTGTTGCACCTCCCACCCACCACTCTCTCTCTCTTGCTCCAGCTCTGGCCATGAAAGTGCCTGTTTCCTCTTTGGCCTCTGCCATGATTGTAAGCTTCCCGAGGTCTCCTGAGAAGCTGAGCAGATGCCAGCACCATGCTTCCTTTAAGCCTGCAGAACCATGAGCCAAGTAAACCTCTTTTCTTTATAAATTACCCAGCCTCAGATATTTCTTTATAGCAATGCAAGAATGGACTAACATAGAAAATCAGTACCAAGGGGTACCTGAAAACGTGAAAGCAACTTAGGAAACGGGTAATGGGCAGAGGTTGGAAGTCTGGAGGGTCCAGAAGAAGACAGCAAGTGAGGGAAAGTTTGGAACTTCTTAGGGATTGGTTAAATGGTTATGACCAAAATATGGATAATGAAAATGGACAACAGAGTCAAGGCTGAGGAGGTCTCAGATGGATATGAATAAATTATTGGGGACTGGAGCAAATGTCACATGTTTTGCCTTAGCATAAGGGAAGAGACCACCCCTCATGTTGTCTTATGCCCAATTTCTGCCTCCAAAGAAAGAACAAGTAAAAACTAAAAGGCAGAAATGAAATCCACAAGCAGACAGCCCAGCATCACACCCTGGGCCTGGTAGTTAGAGATTGACCCCTGAACTAATCGGTTATGTTATCTATAGATTACAGACATTGTATAGAAAAGCACTGTGAAAATCCCTGTCCTGTTTCGTTCCAATCTAATTACCGGTGCATGCAGCCCCCAGTCACGTATCCTGTGCTTGCTCAGTTGATCACAACCCTCTCATGCACACCCCGTTAGAGTTGTGAGCCCTTAAAAGGGATAGAAATTGCTCACTCAGGGAGCTTGGCTCTTGAGACGGGGGAGTCTTGCCGAAGCCCCCGGCCAAATAAACCCCTTCCTTCTTTAACTTGGTGTCTGAGGAGTTTTGTCTGTGGCTCGTCCTGCTCGTCCTGCTACAAGCAAAGAGCTCAGCTACATTCTGTTCATACCCTAGGGATCTGTGGAAGTTTGAACTTGATGATTTAGGGTATGTGGTAGAAGAAATTGATAAGCAGCAAAGTATTCAAGAAGTGGCATGGCTGCTTTTAACAGTCGGCATTCAGATGCTGGAGCAGAGAAACGAGTTGGAACTTATATTTAAGGGAAGCAGAATGTAAAAGGGAAGCAGAATGTAAATGTTTGAAAAATTTGCAGCCTAGCCATGTGGCAAAGAAAGAAAAAGCCTTTTCAGAAGAATTCGAGCAGGCTGAGGAGCAACTACTTGCTAGAGATATTTGCATAATAAAAAGGGAGCTAAGTGAGTGCTAATACCCAAGACAATGGAGAAAAGGCCCCAAAGCATTTCAGAGACCTTCACAGCAGCCCCTCCCATCAAAGGCCTAGAGGCCTAGCTGGAAAGAATGGTTTCAGGGGCCAGGCCCAGGGCCCTGCTACTTTGTGCAGCTTTGGGACACTGCTCCCTACATCCTGGCTGCTCCAGCTCCAGCCTTGGCTCAAAAGGTCCCAGATACAGTTTGGGCTGCTGCTTCAGAGGGTGCAAGCCATAAGCCTTGGTGACTTTCACATGGTGTTAAAAACCTGTAGACATGTAGAATGCAAGAGTGAATGAGGTTTGGCAACCTCTGCCTAGATTTCAGAGGATGTATGGAAAAGCCTGGGTGTCCAGGTAGAAGTCTGCAGCAGGGGCATAGCCCTCACAGACAACCTTACTAGGGCAGTGCCAAGGGGAAATGTGAGGCGGAAGACCCTACACAGAGTCCTCATGGGGGCACTGCCTAGTAGAGCCGTGAGAAGGGGGCCACCACGTTCCAGACTCCAGAATCGTAGATCTACTGGTGGCTTACACCCTGCACCTGGAAAAGCTGCAAGCAGAGAGCAGCAGTGGGGGCTGAACTCTGGAAAGCCACAGGGGCAGAGCTGCCCAAGGTCTTGGGAGTCCACCTCTTGCACTGGTGTGCCCTGGATGTGAGATACGGAGTCAAAGGAGATTATTTTGGAGCTTTAAGGTTTAATGATTGTCCTGCTGGGTTTTGAACTTGTGTGGGGCCTGGAGCCCCTTTCTTTTGGCCAATGTCTCCCTTTTGGAATGGGAATGTATACCCGATGTCTATACCCCATTGTATCTTGGGAGTGAATAACTTGTTTTTGATTTTACAGGCTCACAGGTGGAAGAGACTTGCCTTGACTCAGACGAGAGTTTGGACTTTTGAGTTAATGCTGGAACAAGTCAAGACTTTGGGGGACTGTTGGGAAGGCATGATTGTATTTTGCAGTGAGAAGGACATGAGATTTGGGAGGGCCCAGGAGTGGAATGATATAGTCTGGATATTTGTCACCACCCAAATCTCATATTGAAATGTAATCTGCCATCTTGGAGGTGAGGCCTAGTGTGAGGTGTTTGGATCATGGGAGGGGGGAGATCCTTCATGAATGGCTTGGGCCATCCTCTTGGTGATAAGTGAGCTCTCACTCTGAGTTCATATGAGATCTGATCATTTAAAAGTATGCAGCACCTCTGCCTTCCAACTCATTCTCTTTTGCTCCTACTCTGGTCATGTGAAGTGCCTGTTCCCTTTGCCTTCTGCATGACTGTAAGCTTCCTGAGGCCTCCCCAGAAGCTGAGGAGATGCCAGTACCATACTTCCTGTAAAGCCTGAAGAACCATAAGCCAATAAATCCTCTTTTTAAAATAAATGACCCAACCTTAGGTATTTCTTTAATACAGTGCAAGAATGGCCTAACACACCATACACTGTAATATCCAGTGCTAGCAAGAATGAAGGGAAACACCCGGTTTCACACATGGTGAGTAGAAATATGTTAGGAAAGAAGTCCTAAAATTATTCAGCTAGAAACACACATGTGTTGGCACAGCAAATCCATTCTGGGAATGCAAACCTATAGAAACAAAAGCACCAGTATGTAAGATTACAGGTATAAAGATGTTTCTTTCAGCATTGCTTGCAGTGGCAATTAATAAATAATAACAACGACAAAAACCCAAGCAAAAACAGAATCACCATGAATACAGCAGTGATCTAAAAATTAACATATTATAGAGTAAAATGTAGCTATTAAGAGATTATGTTCATCATCGCCTGCTCAGTGAAACAAGCACTTTGCAGTGTGCTGTGCATTTGACTCTGACGTGTTTGATTTTGAACAAGATAGCAAGAGGAGCAGGAGGAGACCACCAGGATGTTATCAGTCATTATTACACTGGTGAGATCTAGGAGGTGTGCAGGAGAATGTTCTTAAGTGTTCCTCATATATCTCAGTATTGTTTCCTTTGTTATAATAAGCATGTCTTACTTTCATAATGAAGAAAAAGGATAGAGAAGAGGGAGCGCATGGGGCAAGAAATGTGGCGCTGAACAGACTTGGAGACTGTTACTTTGGAAATAAGTAAAAGAACTAGAGATGTTTGGTCTGAAAAAACCAGGACTCCAGGAGGAATGCTGGTGTTTACTCACTTATTGGGCTTTTGGGGTCCTAGGAAATCAGACTCATTTTTCTGCTTTTCTGAGGTAGAGGCTGGAGCCATGGATAGAAGCAGCAAAGGACATTTCGGCATAGTGTGAGGAAGAAGGCACTGAGAGTCCAATTTGTCTGCACCTGGGAGGTGATGACCCCACCATTCTTTGTACCACCCAACCCACCTGCGAGCTGCGGTGCACTGGCCTGGGCAGCTGTGCCCAGGCTCAGTCCCTCAGTGGTACCTTGGGCAATGTCGTCCTGCCTCTGCAGGCAGGGCCGCTCCACCTTGTGCCCGGGCTGTGGCTCTCGCTCTGGCTGCTTGGGACCCCTCCCTTCGTTGAACACATGCGGCAGATTGGCTGTGTGCACCTGGCGGAGCTGCTCATAGTCGCTCAGAGCGGCTGTCAGGTCCCAGTTTTTGCCTGTGGACAAGAAGTGACAAGAGGTGACAATATGAATGCATGAATTATGGTCTCATCATAGAGAAGAACCGTGACAAGAAGGGTTTCCCATGAGGACATAAACTAATGAATTTTCTACCAGTAGTTCTCATTTTTCAAAGGGGAAAATGGCCCTCTGCATGACTCAAAGTAGATTTCATACCCATAAGTGACGTCCAACTAAAATATGTGACTATACACAGTTTCAGAGCCTTTAGGTTCAAACACACACACACACACACACACACACACACACACACCCCTAAACATTGCACCCCCGATTATCACATCCGCCTTTGAAAATCAAGTTGTAGAGCTTACTCTCTGAGGGGAACAAAGCGTCAATTAAAGAAAAATGAATTGAAATAATTCTTAAAGTTTCTTTGGGCTTTTGCTCAGAGTTTTACTTTTTAAGCTTACTATGAGAGAAGTAGAAGCTTGGGGGGGATTCTCTTGTTAGTGAGTGTTGGTAGGAGATAGGCTTCCAAGCTCAGGCCCTGCACCGGGTGCGATGCCAGGCTGGGCAGGTGTGCCCTGCGTGGGTACACACTCAGCAGGGCTCCCACCCCGACACAGGGTGCTGGACTGGCACTTCGTAGCACTAGGCGCAGCTACACTGGGGAGTTGGAGGCAGCGTGGGTACTCCGATTCCCGACTCTGAGAGTCAGTGGACTTGTAACAGCAGGAAGGAGTGTCACACACTGCATCCGATTCAATGAGGCATCATCCTACAGCACGACTGGGCAACTACGGTTAACAATTTCAACATAACCAAAAGCGTAGATTTGGAATGTTCCCAACACAAAGAAATGATGCATGTTTGAGTTGATGGATATCCCAATTAGCCAGATTTGATCACTACACACTGTATGCTTGTATCAAAATATCACATCTGCCCCGTCAATATGTACAACTATTATGTATCCATAAAAATTAAAAATTAAAAAAATTTTAAAAAGAAATCAAAGAATTAAAAAGTTAGCCTTAATTTTAAGGAGCAAATAAAAATAAGCTCCCCTCTCATCTTTTCCATTTTAAGTTACTGGGAACCCCAACAGATGTCACATCAAGTAAGGATGAGAAGGAAAGGCACAGAGGCCCATGGTGAAACCTGAGGCTAGAAGACTGGGGCAGCCACAGGATACATGTCCCTGATGCCGGGATACTCACTTTTGGGAAGGAATGCAACCCTGAAGAACAGTCAAGAACACAGGTTCTAGAGCCTGGCTTTGAGCCCTGCTTCCACCTTCTAACTAATTCTCTGATGCTGAATATATCATTTCATCACCTAAGGCCTTGCATTCCTTCCTGTACAATTAGGATAACACAATCCATCTAATGAGAACTCTTATGAGGGTTAAATGAGAAAAGGAGATAGTGTTTGTAAAGTTCTTCCTTTATGGAAAGTGCTTAATAGATGGTAATTACCATTATTCTCATTAATTATAGGTTTTTGTTTTATGTTTAACTTCTAGCACTCGGAGTTAAAAGCCAGTGAGTAAGTGATAGAGCTGAGATTCAAATACAGATCTGCCTTGATTCAAACCTTAGCTTTTGGTGTTATCGTTCCCTTGAACCTGACCCAGCTTTGGACATAACAGCTCCTGGTTGCTGATACACCTCCTTCTCTACGTTGCCCACCTACCATGACCCTTCATAACCAGAGTTTACCCTTTTCACCTGGATCCCCACTCTCCATCCCCACCTTGCCAATGCAGTCAACTGCTGGGTTCTACTCTCTTCTCCACAGATTTACCTATACTCTGTGAGGTTCTTATTTGACTGTTACTAATGCCATGCTCCAAACACACCACGGCCATAAAATCCATGGGAGGGCACTAGAGGCTTAATTCTAACATGGATATTTTCATACTTCCTCTTCTCTTGCACCCTGGGATGCTCTACGATCCCTTCACTGGTTCCTTTGCCTCTTCCTGCCCATAAAACACATGGATTCCCCTAATTTTTCTTCTTGCTCTTCTTTACTCTTAATTTATACCCTCCTTTCAAGATTAAGTCCATCTCTATGAGAATAAGCTTAATTCTAGTTACAACTTATATCCTAAGTTTTAAAGCCAAATATCTTGACTATGGCAGATATTAGCTGACTATCCAGTTTCCATTCTCCTCATCTAATTCTATATGCTCAGAATTCTAATTTATTTTGGATAGCAATACACACAGCTCAAAGTATTCATTTTCTCCTGCAGATCTTCCAAATATGTTCCTGTTGTCCTATCTTTCTGTATTTGCTTACTCTGTTCCTTCTTCCTGGAATAGTTCCTCCAAGCAGCAAGACAGTATAGCTGTATGGAAGAAGACCTTAACCAAAAGAATTCAAAGACTGAGGACGTTGCCTGTGAAGTTTTTCTTTCAGGATGCCTCAATTTCTGATTATCACCAAACAGCAAGTTATTGGATTACTAGCAGGCACAGGTTTCATGGTAAGAACTACAACCTCTAGTACAGTTTACTGCTGAAAATGCTTATGCCTTAAACTTCTAAATCATTTGATTTTTTTTTTTTCATTGTCTTAAGAGGCAGTGGATTTCGAGTTAAATTTAACATATGTATTTTGGCACTCAGAGAGGGATGAGTTGCTTTAATTTAGTACAAAACCATCATAGCTCTGAAGAAAAACTATAAATCAGATATACATGAACTCACAAGAGGAGGTGAAACAGAAACTGACTAAACTCAGGGGGAAAAGGAGTCAAATTGTTTTAGGAATGAAGTTAAACTGTAAGGGAGAAAAGAGAAAACAGACTACAGATTGCATAGCAAGAATGAATGATAAATATGAAAAATAAGGAGACAAAACAGAAATAAAGAAACACAGGGTTAAAGAAAAATGTTAGATATAAAGTAGGTTAAAAAAAAAATCCAACATACTCATAATTGGAGCCCCAAATAAGAAATCTAAAATAATGGAAAAGGAAAAAAAAGAATTTAAAGATTTTAGTTAAAAAAACAAACTTTTTGAAATATTTGTTTTTACATATTTAAAGGGCACACAGTATAAGGAAACTGTTCTTAGTCAATACCAACATATATCCTTTAAAAATTATCCTCTTTTAAAGATAAAGATAATTTTTAAAATATGTAAGCAAAAAAGAAAGAAAATCAGGTTGGCAACATACTTCTTGGCAGCAACATTCAATGCCAAAAGACAGTAGGGCCATATCTACAAGATACTGAAGGAAAGAAAGCAATATGAGCTAAGAAGGTTTTATGTACATCCAGTCTACTCTTTTCTGTATAAAGGCTGTAGACAAACCATTTAAAACATGAATAGTTCAGAAAACATTTCTCAAATGGACACTTTTTGAGAAAACTACTAGAGGATGAACTCCAGCCAATCAACAGATGAATAAGAGTTTGGCAAAGGAGCAGTAAGTTTTCTTAACTGCACATCTAAGAAAAAGCAAAGGTAGAGATACAAGTGATAAAGAAGAATATCAATATTGTGTCAAAATGAAAATGACCCAATCAACAAAAATGGTAGAATTTAGAAAGCAGAATAAATTTGCAATGCCTCAGCTGTTACACAAGAGACTGCAAAGATAATGTTTACAGTTGACAGGTCAGGCCAGGTGCAGTATTTCACACCTTTGGGAGGCCAAAGTGGGCAGATCACTTGAGGTCAGGAGTTTGAGACTAGCCTGGCCAACATGGCGAAACTCTGTCTCTACTAAAAATAAAAAAATTACCTGGACATGGTGGGACACGCCTGTAGTCCCAGCTACTCAGAAGGCTGACGCACAAGACTTGTTTGAACCTGGGAGGTGGAGGTTGCGGTGAGCTGAGATTGCACCACTGCACTCCAGCCTGGGCGACAGAGCAAGACTGTCTCAAAAATAACAACAATAACAAAAACACAAAACAAAACTACAGTTGACAGGTCAAATATGTACAAGTAAGCATATTTAATAGTAGAAGGGGAAACAATAAGAGCAGACAAAAGATATACTATTGGTTAAATCAGATGGTAGAAGAGAGAGGGGAGAATGAAGGAAGAAGATAGAAGCTTGTTTTATTGAGGCATATAGGGAATAAACTGATATTGTCTAAAGAAAAAGGGATATAGGATATTACATAAAGGCAAACTTATGTAACCACTAGTTATAAACATAATTATAAGTAGTTATAGTTGTTATATACCAGTGGTTAAAAAAGAAACCATTAACATAATTTTTTAAATATCAGAAAAAATATTCTAAAATAAAAAGCTAAGATAGCATAGTGAAAGACATTTAAAATATTTATACAGAAAAACAGAAACTATGACAGAACTAAAACCAACCATATCTGTCATAGCAATAAATTTAAGTAGACTTAACACAACTATTTAAAGAAAAGGATTTTTACATTATCTCTAAAAAGAAAGATGAATCATTTGCTGTATATAAGAGACACACCTAGAGCAAAGTGATTTAGAAAGGTCACAACTAAAACAGATAGACAGTAGTTTATCAGGTATACAAGACAAAGACAAAACAACAATAACAACAGAACTGAGGTTATGATCTTGTATCAAACAAGGTAGAATTCAGGCCAAAAAGCATTAAGTAAGATGAGGAAAACCACCTTATAAGGCAAAAGTGTTCAATTGGCAATGAAGTGTATTAATCATGTTTTTTATTCTTTGTATTTTATGATGCTTTGACATCCTGGGGCCTTTGTGACCTGGGAGAGGCTGCATCTCCTTGGGCTAGCATATTCCTAGAGATAACAAACTACTCTTCTGCAAGCCTGCCTTTCATATACAAACCCATTAATCCAAAGCCCAGACCCCTCAACCACAGCCTTTCCTACAATTCCAGGCCAATATTCCCCTCCTCTAATCAGCCCAGGGCCAGGTACCAGATAACTCAGAAGGGTCCCTCCACCTTGGGCCTGCTGGAATTATTCAGACGAGCCAACCCTCAACCAGCTTAGCCTGCTTGCCGTGCCCTGCCCAATCCTTCCCATGGAAACTGCAA